CAACAGATTGCTGCGCCTTGAACACTGGTCCGTGTGGCTGATGCTGGAAGGACGGCCGCGCATGCTGAAAACCAGCTGCATGGTCGGAACTGAATTACAGGATGAAATGGCTCGTATTACAAAGCAATTATATATGTTCAGATATATATTTGCATATTTTACCCCGACATGACATGCGAATTTCGACTTTCAAGTAAAAATTTTGCGAAATAAAATCTGGGGACCCTGGTAGAATCAAAGAGGTAGAGCCTCATCGAGCCCCAATTTCTTAGAAATCTGTCCAGTAATGGAACCTGATGACTCGTGGAACCAAAAGATGTCGCAACAGATTGCTGCGCCGTGAACACTGGTCCGTACGGTTGATGCAGGAAGGGCGGCCCCGCGTGCTGAAAATCAGCTGTATGGTCGGGAATGAATTACAGAATGAAATGGCTCGTGTTATAAGGCAGTTATGTATATGCTCCGAAATTTAGAGAATTCATGAAATTTGCATATTTTACTTCGATGCAGCATGGGAATTTCGGCTTTCAAGTAAATATTTTGCGAAATAAAATCTGGGGCGCATGGTAGAATCGGAGAGGTAAAGCCTCATTGGGCCACAGTTTCTTAGAAATCTGTCCAGCAATGGAACCTGATGACTCGTGGAACCAAAAGATGCCGCAACAGATTGCTGCGCCGTGAACACTGGTCCGTATGGTTGATGGAGGAAGGGCGGCCCCGCGTGCTGAAAATCAGCTGTATGGTCGGGAATGAATTACAGAACGAAATGGCTCGTGTTATAAGGCAATTATGTATATGCTCCGAAATTTAGAGAATTCATGAAATTTGCATATTTTACTTCGATGCAACAAGGGAATTTCGGCTTTCAAGTAAATATTTTGCGAAATAAAATCTGGGGCGCATGGTAGAATCGGAGAGGTAAAGCCTCATTGGGCCCCAATTTCTTAGAAATCTGTCCAGTAATGGAACCTGATGACTCGTTGAACCAAAAGGTGTCGCATCAGATTGCTGCGCCGTGAACACCGGTCCATGTGGCTGATGCTGGAAGGACGGCCGCGCATGCTGAAAACCAGCTGCATGGTCGGAACTGAATTAC